CCTCCTCGTCTTCCAACCTCTCTGGCAGCAAGGCATCCAACCCAGCGCTGGGCCATTCTACGAGGGTGACTCCCTTCGGGATGACTTGGTCGAGGCCGAGGAAAGAAATGTCCTTGGACTGCCCCAGCCTGTCCTAGCAAGTCAGCGCAGGCGCCGCAGGGGAGCAGGGAGCCTGTAGAGGTCAAGGTGATTGACGGTGAAGCTCTTGCAAGGGTACTGGAGATGGAGGAGGAAGGAGGGAGAGGCCACAGTCAGCGTCTCGTCCTCTGAAAGGTCTCGTATGAAGGCTCGAGCGAAGGTCGTCTTGCCGCATCCCACGTCTCCTCGCAGGAGGACGACGTCTCCGGCCTCCACGCTCTGAGACAGGATCCTGCAGGAGGGATGAGAGGAGGGGAGAGAGTAGAGAGAGAGGGTAAGGGAAAGAAGGGGAGAGGAGAAGAGGAGCAGACGAGCAAGAGCATGTAGTACACCTTGCAAGTCTCTCCGTGTTCTCAAGTCCGTTTAATCTTCCATGTATCGTCCTGACGTCCTGCATGCTCCCCGAGCCAGCGCCGTCGGCAGCTGAGCATGTTGTCCTGAAACTCCCTCCCCGCAATGGGGCGATGGACAGGCGCGCAAGTCTGTGAAAAGCTGCCGCGTCCTCACGATGAGTCCTCCTCCTTCCTCCCGCTCAGCATCTCTCACCTAGCACATGGCGCTGGTGCGGTAGGCTCCTGGCAAGAGCTGGAGCAAGGCTCCTCCTTTCCGCCCGGCCTGCATGGCAGCCTCCATGCAGACCCGCGCTCCTCGTCGGACTCTGAGCATGTGCGCCGAGCCTGCGGTCAAGGCGGGGGCACTCGATGCAAGAGAAGGCCATGGCCATGTCTGACCATGGATGGGCAGCGGCTAAGAAGGAGATCAAAGAAAGCCGTGCCATGCTGCTCTGAACCATGTCCACCTGCACAGGCTTCAGGGACATGCTGAGGTCATGCGAGCAGGGGCACGAGAACGAGGAAGGGAGAACTAAGGTGGGGAGTGAGGGAGAGAGAGGAAGGAAGCACAAGTAGCTCTTAGGAAGTAGCCAGCTGTTCCCTCCCACCTCGGCCCCCGCCCTCTCTTCCCCTCCTCCAGTGCCAACTCCCCCCACACACAACTTCACCTTCCTTTCCTATCGCTCTCCTCTCTCCCTCTCTTCTCCTTTAGGCCTCGTTCTGCTTCCCACCAGCCTGTCGCTCCGCATCGTTTCCTGCCATGAGCTCTCCCTCCCCTCCTCCCTGCGCCCCCCGGATCCTTCTACCCAATAAAAACCTCTGATGATGCTGAGGACGCATCGATACCAGGAACGAGTGGGGACATGGGGGGGGGAGAAAATGAGAAACAGTGGGAGGAACAAGGAGAGGGAGGGGGAGGAAGAGCAAGGAAGGAGGAGAGGGAGGCAGGGGAGGAGCAGGTTTCCTCCTCTTGCTCCTTCTATCCGCTGTCGGCCATGGGGCCTTGGAGGGCCGGGGGGGCCACAAGATCAAAGAGGATGAGATTCATTGAGAAACTACATAGCAACATCTACAAGAAAGCGACAGGCCCCTTCCACTGAGCGTAGCATCCATAGTCGGCGCAGGTGACGTTGTTATGCCAGGCCCAATTGCCCTCCTTCTTGATGAGGTTCTTGTCGCCGGCGAGGGCCTGGGACTTGGAGAACCACTTGTTGTTGCTCAGCTGGTCCTTGGAGTTGCCTTCGGTGCTGTACCAGCTGCACCACGAGCGTGAGGAGCGAGAAGAATCATAGCGAAGATGGAGATAACTCGGTGAAGAACACAAGGTTCGGCAAACAGAGGAGGCAAACAGCAGGGGGGAGGAGCAGGCAGGAAGGGGCTCGGACAGGAAAACATCAGCAGCATGTGCATCGTCATCCGATATGGACAGCAATGAGTGAATGAATGAACGAAAGTCATCGAGCACTGCGTCGATGCAGGGAAAAGTGCGTGCAGCAAACCGCGTTGGCGGAGTAGTGCAATGGGACAACACAATCCGAGAAAGCATCATCATGATTTGGAACACCTCTTGATAATGAAACACAATCACCCATCTCACTCATAACAACAGCAGGTGAAGCTTTTTTCAGCAAGAAAATGCCTCCTCCTACTCCTACTTCAGGAAACATGGAACACAAGAAACACGGCCTGCATTCAGGCGTGCAGAGGAGAGAATCGTTAAGACATGCATCTAAAAACAAGCTGCATCGCGTCTTCACATGCCATGCCCCCCATCGCCGCGCGCGCACTCACTTGCTGTCCTTGAAGTGCATGTACATGGTGCCGTCTGTCTCTTCGCCTGCCGTCTTCACCGCTAAGCCTCATCCTGTTAAATTAGCTCACTTCTTTGTTAAATAAGACACATAATCCTTAAAAGCCAATCTGAGGCGGGCTGTGCATCTTGTCGAAAAGCCAGGAGGAATGCGCTCTTCGCAGCGAGCATGGGCGTGGGCGATGGCGGGGCTTGGCTTGTGCATGGCGGTCTTGATGGTAGTGAGTCGAGCAACATCAAGACGGTGAGCTCATGTTGTTGCCTCTGCTGCTCATGCTGCCTGCAAGCGCCTGTCTTGCGTACAACTGCACTGAAGTTTGAGTACAGGTCAAGCGATGAAATGGTCGGCGTCGGGATGAGCTATCCCAACGATCATGCGGCATACTTCGTTCAGCCTGCATACTTGAGACCCAGGAACCACATCCTGATGGACTTTAGACGCTCTAACTCTCGCAAGAGTGTCCTGCCATACTTCGCACGCTCAAACGTTGGACAGACATTAGCTGAAACTCGGATGGCTTTGCCACTTGCAACCCAGAGCTACGAGAGTTTTTTCCATCCTGTAGCTCCAAGTGATCTTGGACACATGCTGGAACAGGAGCAGGCAGCGTCCACCAACGAAGAGCACGCTGAAGAGCATCGTTGCTATGGCCTTGTGCACGCTTGTGTCAACTGGATGGCGCTGAATGCAAAAAAGATGAGGGTGATTGTGTATGAAGGCGGATCTTGGTGCACAGATGACGAGCTCGCGAGTCAAGCTTGCTACAATGAGCCAAAAACCATCTCCGAGGTGAGGAAATTTCTGCAGTGCCTTTCCTTGACTGTGAATGCCAGGACCATGTGTACGATATCCCAGCGAATGGAGAGACGTTCCCAGATGGCATGTGGAGCACGATGTTGAAGACCTGCCCGTTCCTGTCTGGGTGCTCGAAACCTGAGTCTTTCTCTGACACCGAGTCGAATGGGGAGATGAAGCAGGCCATGAGCGCTGTGCTCGAGTTCCATCGAGCACGACAGGGTATGCTCAGGCAGGTTGACTCCTGTTGTATCGATAGGCAGCAAGCGAAGCTTGCATCTTTGAAACGATAGTAATTCATGTTGCAATCTATAAAAAAAGAATACATCTACCCCGCCCCGCTCATCTAGCGTAGGACAAACTCATCGTTGGTAATGGGATCTCTGGGTCTGCCAGGTCAGATTCTTCTGAGGAGCTCGGGTGCAGATGGAAAGAGAACTTCCCCTCCCGACTTCGCCCAAGCTCCATCTGATCTAGCTCCCATTCATGAATCGCCCCATCCTCGTCTGCAGACCATATCCGCACCCCGTTGTGATCTTCGTGCCCTGCCCTCAACACATCAGCACCTCCCCATCCCGCGGCACATACAAGCTACCTGTAAGAGCGTAGATGGTTCTCCTGTGCCCCTTACATGTCATGATGCAGAAGCTTGTTCCTGGCTTCCACAGCCTCACCAGAGAATCGGCAGACGCGGATACCAGCACTCCATGGGACCGAGCCATCCACAGCGCATTGACCGGGGTCTGGCGGCTGTAAGATGTATTCTCTGTCTCCCCTACCCTCGAGTCCCGATGCCCTACGAACTCAAGCGTCATGTTCCAATTACTCATGTCCCACGTCTGGATGATCCCGTCCATCGTGCTGACCACCAGCAAGTTCCCCAGACTTGCCAAGCCGTAAGCAGGGAAGTATTCGAAGTCGTCTGTTTCAAGGACTGTCAAACACTTGAGGTTTTCCAGCGACCAAACCCTGATCGTGCCATCGTTAGATCCACTCACAATGTAAGAATAAGGCTCTTCTGTCTCCAACAGCGCGTAGATTGCGTCAGTGTGGCCTTCGAGGACCCCCAGCGATTGATCTGTGTTTGCATCCCACATTCTGATCATTCCGTCGCAATCTCCTGAGAAGAGCACACTTGAAGAATCTGCGCTTTGTTTCAGCAACAGTGTATCTATCGATCCATGGTGCATGTCTTCGAGCTTGCAACCCTTGTCTTCAGCACACCCGACGAAAGAAACCCGTGTTCTTGAGCGAGTGTGCCATTTCTCCAAAGAGCTGGCAATGGTCCCCATCCATATGAAGTTCTGGTTCACTGCTAGGCTGGAGACGCAAGGTCTCAGAACCATGCATGAATCGCTCTGACTTGGCTCTAACTTGCCCACACACTCCCCGCTCCTCACGTCCCACAGTCGCACGTAGTGGTCCAGTCCACCGCTGTACAGGATTCCACCATGGTACGCCAGCGCCAAGACTGTGTTGTTGTGCCCTAGGAAGGACCTTGAAGGCCCAAGAACTTCTCCCTCTCCTTCCCCTCCTCGCAGCCGCAGCGACCTGGCTGTCAGGCAGAGGGTCAGCGCCATCCGTATGCCCTTGACTCCCAGCATTGGACGCATTTTCGGGTGCCCACAGATCGAGTCCGCCTCAGCATCTTCCATGTTCCCCGGGCGCGGGCCCGCCGAGGCAGGTGGTGTAACGTATACGTTACGGGCGAGAACATTTTAAAAAATTTCGATTCGAACAGGCGTGTAAACAAGTAGCTGCGCATCCGCCATGGGGGCGAAGATGGACAAGGCGGGAGGGGCGATGGAATGGGAGGAAGGGAGTGAGGAGGAGGACGGAGCGACAGTGAGGGAAGATCCGTCAGAGGAAGAAGATGGCGGGGAAAACCAACATGAACAGGACGACGAGTTCATCGTGGGGAAGGAGGAAGGCAGCATCGAGGACGGGAAGGGATCTGTGATGCGTGATGGAGAGGAAGGTGAAGAGAACTCTGAGGATTATGAGGAGAAGTGTGATGAGCAGGCTGAAGAGAAAGATGATTCTCTGGAAAGTGAGCACAATCGTAAAGCTCAAATCGAGGAGGACAGCGATGGAGAAAATGGAGAATCTCAAGACATTTCCAACGATAACAGCGGTAGAGATCATGATGGTAATGAGAAGGGAGTCGATGAAGAGGAAGAGAAGGCCTCCTTCGTGGAGAATCAAAATGTTCTTAGCAAGGACATGTCGGAAAGTGAGCGGCGAGTCGAAAGTAATGCGTCAGCTTCTGATTGCAACGTGGACGGGGTCGAATCAGAGGAGGATTGCAGCACTGAAGCCAACAAGACAGAAGGATGGGAGGCCTTGGAGAGAGAGCAGCATGATAGCTATGGCGGTGAAGGAAGAGATGAAAGCATGGATGCTTCCAGTGATACAAGCGTGTTCATCCCGAGAACTGTCGAGAAGAAGCAGAGGAGGGCGGTCTTCAGTGATGATGAGTCGGAGCAGGAGCAGGAGCAGGAGCAGGAGCAGGAGCAGGAGCAGGAGCAGGAGCAGGAGCAGGAGCAGGAGCAGGAGCAGGAGCAGGAGCAGGAGCAGGAGCAGATGGTTGATAAGAGTGAAGACTGTGAGGGCTACGAGGACGATCAACAGAAGTCTGAGGACACCCAGGCGAGGGATCTGGGCAGGCAGTTCGAACTCCTGATCATTGGAGGTGAGTGTGCATGGAAGGGATGTGATGTGTGGTTGACTTGTGGTGCAGAGATGAACACAAGAGAAGACAGGACAGAGTTGGAAGAGAACAACACAAGAGGAGACAGGAGAGAGTTGGAAGAGAACAACACACGAGTTGATATGAAAGAGCTGGAAGAGAAATTCAGAAGATTCTCAAAGATGTTGAGGTGGGAGACGAGAGATTTCAAGTACTCGAATGAGGGAGCTCGGCCTCAAACGGTCTTGATCGTGGACGAAGAAGAAGTGAAGGAGGATGTGGAGAGGGAGGAGGATCAAGATGCGAGCATGGAGATAGTGAGGAAATCAACGGCGAAGAAGAAGTTTGCCTTCGATCTTTGCAGCTCGGACGAATCGTCGAGCTCGGAAGAGACAGGTGATGGGGGTGCTGGAGACTTTCTCTTCGGACTTACACAGTGGAACAGATGCGAAGACGGTGGTGAAGGAAGAGGTGGAAGTGAAAGTGAGAGGACAGAGTGATTTTGCGCTGCAATGTTGTAAATATGGCAGCAGGCTACACCAAGGAGGAGGATTTTCGTGGAGAGCGACGATGAAAGCGAGGAGGTAGAGGAGAAGGTAGAGGACGGGAGGTTCTAACAAGTAAGTAGAGTGAGGAGCATGACGGCAAGTGCCATGGTGTCAAGGAGGTGAGGAGATGCAGTGGGAGGAGGAGGAAGTGAGTACGTGTGGCAGAAGGAGCGGAGAAGACAACTTGACGGCGAATCTGTAACTTCACAGAAGTGAATTGCTCCTTCTCTCACTGTCGTTCCTTGAGCAGGAGGAGGAGGAGGAGGATCAGGAGCAAGACAGGGAGAGCTTGGAGGACTTCATCGTAGATGATGAATCTGCGTCCTCTTCCGGAGACGATGATGACGATGAAGACGACGACGAATTCTTGGGGGACATTGAAAATCATAATCCTCTCCAGCCCAAGGCCGACAAGAGGGACAAGCTCTTCACCCCTAAAGTGAAGAAGGCTGGATGGAGGTACAGCAGTCTTCGCTTCTCCTTCCTCCTTCTACATTCCTCCACCCCCACCAACACTACCTCCTCCTCCTCCTCCTCCTCCTCCTCCTCCTCCTCCTCCTCCTCCTCCTCCTCCTCCTCCTCCTCCTCCTCCTCCTCCTCGTTCCTTCTCCCATGTGATCAAAGTCCGCTCATTGGCACATTTCCTTCTGGTGACCGCAGTGAGTTCACTCCTTCTCGCGTCGCCTCCAAGACTCCCACGCAGAGGATTCAGCGAGACGAGCAAACTCAAGGGCTGTATGAGGTTCTTGTTGCTTCCTCCCTCCCTCCCTCCCTCCCTCCCTA